TGCATGTCAGACATCTCTAAATATAAGAAGATAAGAAAATCAAGTATTAAAATTTAACTTTATAAAATATATATACACAGTATGTTTTTGAAGGTAGAAAGAAAAAATAAGAAGAGCAGTACAGCTGTGTCTATAAAGTGGCTATAAATATCTATTACAACAGTTAAAACATCATTTCAAAATCAATTGAAGAAATCTTAAATTAAATGTTCACAATTTCCATGAATAACTATAAATTAAACATTGCAATAAGGGTAAATAGACAAAGCTGGATACATCTGAGAAAACAAGGGGAAAAAAGCCACCCAAAAAACTATCCTCTATATTAGTTGTTAGTTGTTCCACTGAAACTCAAAGGATGTTAGCTCAATCTTTTGGGAAGAAAGAACATCAGATGTAGAAGTAGCCAAACAACAACCATGAGACGTGTACCACAATGTGATAAAAAGGTATGCTAACATTACCTTGAAGAGCTGTGCATGTGGATGTAGCAGTAATGACACTGTGAGTTGTTTTTATCTTTACAGGGTGTTGCAAGGAGTGAGGGCAGGATTAAATTAGGCTTCTACACTTGATGACAAGATGTTTGTTTAAAGAATATCATTGTACAACTGTGAGCAGCTGATCCCAAGCTAAACCCAGAGAACAATGAATTAGGGAACAAGTGAGTGAGTACAGCTCTAGCGATCAACCCTCTTTGCACAGCTTTTTGTTGACTAAAACTAACAATAATCAAATGACTACAAGGTGATGAAAATGGATTCTACATTCTAGAGTTCATGATACAAATAAAATGTTATATGTTATTTCTTTCTCTAATTAATAGAGAGAGCAGAGTGAAGAGAAGAGCAAAGGAGCGTAACCCTTTAAATCATTTCATTTGTGCAACAGAAATGTAATTAGAACGTAACAAGTCATCGTTTTATGGTTCATGAAGACATGATAAAGCAATAATAAGCTAAAGTGTAACTGATGAGACAGGTCAGGTGTCTGCTGAGCCATGATCACGGGTGTTAATGATTGGATGAGATTGAATTAGATTAGAAGAGATAGGAGTCACAGAGGAAAATAACAGACAGGAGCTACAATGGCGCTCACACACATAAATACACACATACTAATGAGGCAAGGGTTGCTGTTTGTGGTGCATGAGCAGAGAGGAGAAATTTGGCAATTGTAAACATGATTATCTCAAATCCGACACACTCCACTGTTATAATGCATAACTGAAGTGTGTGTGTGTGTATGTGTGTATGTGTGTGTGTAGCCATACCAAACACAAAAGATGAACAAACTAATGAATAGCTACAAATATATGCATGTCTGTGTTTGTGTATGTGAGTGTTTGCATATGAAAGTCCTCTTGTGTCTCTTCTGTCAGAGAGTAAGAACATTTGTTCTTCTGTGTGAATGAGTGTGGATACTTTTGTGGGTGGTTAGATAAGAGGAGGAAGTAAGTGCCACTGATCTGACCAATTAGAGCACAGAGTGCAGGGCCTTACGTGGCTGCTGTACAGATGTGCACAAACATCTCCTCTGACAGATTAGAGCAGGGCTTTCTCACTCATGAATCTGCTGCTGCTGCCTGTTTAAATCTCAGTGTTGCTTTTTTTTTTGCTATAATTAGCTGTCTATCAAATACAGCTGACGTCCTTTTTCAACCATCTTTAGTTTGATCGTAACTTTCTTTATCCGATTTTAACAAAGATTAGTGTCAGTGCTAAAAGGAAAAAGGATGTTGAGAATTAAACAAAGGCCTTCATCTACAAAACATAACTGATTAATTAAATGCTAAGATTTTCTGTTTTACATCAATAAATGTTTATGTTGATTGTAATGAACCTAGACATGCAACCTTGGGCTCAGGGGAATTCAGATTCTAAAGATCATGAGTCAGTACATCATGTCATATGACCATCCAATGTGTACTGTATGCCATGACAGTGTGTGTCCACATCAGGCCCGAGATTTGCTCTGCTTCAAAAAAAAAGGTTCACGAAAAACTTAAAGGTCCAGTGTGTAAGATTTAGGTAAAAGGGAACTATTAGAAATTTAATGTAGAATAATCCTCATGATGTTTTCACTAGTTCATTTCATCTAAATTGAATGAATTGTAGTTTTCTTTACCCCAGAAAAGCCCCTTTATATTTAAATACTTTATATTTACATAGAGGGGACCCTCTTTTCGGAGGCTTCCATGTTTTTTACATTAGTCCAGACAAACTAAACACCTTTTGACTTTTTCTGACAACCGAAGACTACCACAGTTTATTTTTGGAAAGGAGAGGGTGAGGTGAGGGGTGTTCAGCTGCAACATGCAATTTCAACACTAGATATCACTAAATTCTACACACTGTGCCTTTAAGGTTGTTTTTTCACACAGTTAACTAACTAACCTAGATATTCTCATATTCATATATAAAACAAAGTCAGGCAGTCGGAAGCTCGAGATAAAGCTGGTGACTGGGCTTTGAGATAAAAATTATTTTGGCATCAGTCATGCCTGACCTTTCAGACTCAAAATGCATTGAGCCAACATCTGTGCTCAGTGCAGACACTGAACAGAATGCATCCTGATTTGTTTCTTTTTTAGCTTTGGTAAACGGTTTATTTTATCTACCTCATGAGCCACATGTATCTCTCATGAAGACCATCATGCCTCTTATGCTGCATTCAGCTCGGCACAGTTCAATTGATTTGCTCACTTGAGGGAGCCACACAGACCCCAGCTGGCCTGAGTCAACAGCAGAAGAAGCAACGTTATTTTGGGGAATTTGCCGTCACGTGTCAAAGATCCACTGTTGCGTATTTGCATGGAGGCTGTCAAGCGCACACCACTAAAAATAGGACCCAGGCTATTTCTCCCGAACTGCTCCTGTGAAAGCACAACAATAGACACCCCTTTTCTCTAGTAGAGGCATGTCACGCTCATTCCAGCATATATCCTACTCCCTTATTCTCACATAGTACCTTTCTTACCTCCTTTGCAAAGGTACATTTTGCTTCCTATCTCAACGTTATGAATCCTCCACTTAACATTTTCTTGTGAAATAATTTATACTTGCATGTCCAGTGACTCAACCTGAAAAAAGCTATGAAATATGCAACAAGAATCTACAACATTTCGAGATCCTGTCATTTGGTTTTGGGGTTAATCACGCAGACAGTTGAACAAATGAAACAAATCCAATTAATGACTGCCAGAATCTTCACTTTCTTTGAGAAGAGTAAGGTTTGAGTGCTGCACTTGAACCTGAATATTAGTTTACATGGAAACAGTATGTGTCTGTGTGCATTAGAATATGAGCATCTCCTCAGTGTGTGTATGTTTCTACAGTACATAATGAATGCTCTACAATTTGAAATTGAACTGATGATTGTGTCTGGTAAAAATTAAATCAATAAATAAATGAGACAGGCGGAAAACCCAAAGATGACAGAGACAGTGCTCCGGGGGAACGAGAGAGCTGAACAGACAATAATGCAGTGACAGACAGAGAGAGAGGGAGTGAGGCGTAAGGAGAACATTGTGAAGAAAAGCAAGAATAATCCTTATTAAGGTAATTAGTGTTTCAGGAGACCAAGTGTAATTAAACAGAAACAGCCCATAAACAATATGCTGTCTAAAAATAGCTTGTCCATACAAATTCAGTCAGACATCACTATCCATCGTCGCATCCCCTAACTGCAGGAAGGAGGAGTGTGTGTATGTGTTTGCATGCATGCATTAGATAGAGATGGTGTTTACAATGAGATCAAGAGAATGCTTGGCAGAGCGTCAGGCTTGTAAAGCCCCACAGTTCCACATGGAAAACACACACACACACACACACACACACACACACACACACACACCGACAAGTCCACAGGGAAGCAAACACAAGGTGTAAACTCAGGAGATACTAGCAGAAACACAGGGATGCACACATGGTGACGCTGGAAGCTTTCAGTTTGAAGGAGAGCACAGAGAATTTCTACCTGAGAGAGTTTTTCATCAGCTTTCATCTCAATCTCAACACCCGCTTGTTTTCTCTCTCTGTTTGTCTCTGGCTCCTCAGCAGAGTTAGTGCTGCTCATATTTCAGCCTCAGTCTCCTGAGACTGCATGGCGTGTTTGTAAAGGTGAAGGGAAGAAGAGGCAGGATATTTCATTATACAGGATGTAATGACTAAGCAGTTTACCTCCACAACTGAGTTAAAAAAGAAAAAGCCTGGATCTTCATTAAATATTATCTAATTATATCTATTAGGTCTGAAACTGAGCATGGTCTTTGAGTTTGAGAGTAGGACTTATTGATTGAAAACAATATCTGTCCTGGCAGCAGAACTATTTTTTTTAAAATTGGGATTTAGCCCCCAAATGATGAACTATCTCACCTTTTAGAATCCACTATTACAACTAACTTAGATTAACAGGAACGTACAAACATTTACATTAAATGTAAAAAAAAAAACATTGACAATAAAGCCCAAAATTATTTAAACATTCAAAAATAATCGAAATGAACAAACCTTATAATGAGTCAAAATAATGTGAATTGACTGAATGAGCAATTTTTTTCAAAGCGCTTTCCAGGACAAGTCACCCATTCCCACAAATTCATACAGCACTGTCTATATACTGTCAACAGCAATTTGTCGTCCTGTCAAGGACACTTCGGAATCTGGATGAGGAGTCAGAGGTCAAACCCCTGACCTTCTGGTTAGTGCATGACCTGTTGTACCTCTTGAGCTATAGCCATCCACAAATACACACACATCCATAAAACTAGATCCAACAAAGTCAAACAGTGCATATTATATAAAGTCTCTTGACATATTCGTGTGATCATGTTCTAATCAAAGCATCAAACACAACATTTGGAGATAGTAATTCCTCTGCCTTTCAAAAAACACAAGGGGTTCTTTAAACAGCTTAATGTCTCAGAGCACTGCTTTCTGCTCCTGTAACATGAACTTTTCCATATGAAGCTTACATTTAACCTTGTCACACAAGCTTACCTGGTTCGGTGCAGTTTTTCTCAGGCTCAGAATAGAGCTTTGACTCATTGTCAAAGACTTCTTGTAGAAGGTGACGACTGTCCCACCTTGACTCCTCCACGACCACAGCTCTGGAAACAAGATATCCTGACAGAGTCAGAAAGAGACAAACAGAGGGAGATGATGGGATGGTTAGAATTGCTGCACAGTGAGTCTTATTGTTGTTAACAATCCACCGGCTAGCTAGGTGAACGACAGTGAATCCATCATGTTGCATTCAGAAAAGGTTGTTTTATATAACCCAATAATTACAGACTGAGAGATCCTTTATACTGTTGGTTTTAAAGATGAACATTAGGGAGTTACTTCATATTCTCAAAATAGAGACATAATAGAGGCATAGTAGAGACATGCTTCTAGTGTCACCGCATAAGTACATCAGCACGCAGAGCGCCACGAGGGTGATCATTCCTGCTCAGTCATCCGTGTCACGGTATCCTCAAGCGCCCCACCTCCGACCCATCTCCTCTACCACCATGCAACAGGCCCTGACTTGGGTGCATAGTACGCCAGGGCCTCTATAAATAGCACCACACTCAGCTATATTTATAGAATAGCAGAAACATGAAATGTTTGCAGCGTTTTGCAAACAGCCATGACACAGTCAATGGAAGAGCAGAAAGACTGAGCTGGAACATGATACTGTGGAGTGATGACTGCAGCTGCAGGAATGTGGCAGTATTACAGTGGATAAGTGCTTGGAAGCATAGATTTAGCTAATAACATTGAACGCCAACAACTATCCTATAGAATATCAACCAAGCTTCCTCACATGGCAATTAAAGGGCCAGTACACCCTAATAACTAAATAAATACGCTATCACTTTCCTTGCCAATAGTTATATTATTTGAGTGAATTTAGTTTGCTTCATCAGGGTGGAGGATTTACTGGTATATTATATCGGGGCTTGTATTAATTAGCGATAGGCCCTTTAATAACCAAAAAAGGTTCATCTGGATTGTTACCAGCTGACTTTGGGACATGGTTAGACGATGTCCAAAACATTTAAGGTGCTCTCTTCATGTGAACAAACTAAAGTTTGTATTATCTTTCTTCACTAAAGCATTTGCAAAGAGTATTTTTAACAGTATGAAACCAGTTCTGTTTACATTGTTGTTGACTTGCTAGAAATCTTTTTCTCTGTTGCCTTTGCATTTTTTGTTGTCACCTGTGCATAAAAGACTGTAAACTGTGTCACATGTGCAGGAGCAACTTCGTACAGAAGACTAACAAAATGGTCTCCTTTCTCAGCATGCGACAGGGCCTGACATAGGTACAGAGCACAATGCTCAGCTATATGGAAAAACAATTACTCCACCGTGGCTGTACAACATGTCAAAACCGCTGTCTTAGTATTTACTGCAGTATTTATCTTGTATTTATTGTTCATTTAACTATACTGTCTATGAAATGAACTAATCTGCAATGAGTGGGACTGCTCAATGGTAATATTATTAT